AAAATCAAACTGCTTTTCATCTTGAAAGATGTCATCCTCTTGAAAAGTAAATGCTGGAAAACTCTTCTTCGAACTAAGATGAAAAAATAATTCAATGCAAAAGATTAAGTTACAGTATTTAAACTGTACCTCTAAGTTGGATTCATATGTATAGGGAATGAGGGAATTGACCTGTGTTATATAACTCTCCTCCAATTACACAGAAGCAGGCACTTACATTGATTGTGATGGTGGTGATTTGTGCATCTATGTAGGTGCTTATGAGTGTGTATATATGTGTACCTGCAAGCATCATTTTTAAAAAAGATTTATTTATTTATTCATACAGAACTGGGGCACAGACCAGAGATACAAGGGCATTGAGAGAATTCACCAGAGACAGCATAGGGAGCAGAACAGGTCGACTGATGAAGTACAGGACTGAGGAGAGCAGTGGGCCCGTCAGGGGAGGTCTGCAGCGCCACGTGGATCACCTCGGGTGGAGATCGAACTCATGCTGAAGTGGCTTTAGCTTCTTAGTCTGCACTATAACCTGCTGTGCCACCAAGGAAGGCCAAGCAAGCATCATTTTTAACAGGACTGTCTAGACTGCGGAGGGACCAGCATCACTGTTTGGTATTAGAAGCTCCAGACTCTCCTACTAAGCTGCCTGGACCACATTTCCCTTTACAACACCTGTTCAACACTTCAGCTGGTTGTCAAACCAACTTCTCCCTTTGCTCTTCACATCACTTGTTGTAGTAATTGCTGGCACTGCAATTAGTTTTTATTATTTATACTTATTAATTATTTCTTAGGAGGAAACCTGGGATTATGCTCATGGAGAAGAAATAGTAAGAAATGTGATAATAATAATAATAATAATAATAAAACAGTAGGTGGGGGGAAAGAGTTGAATCTTCCAAGCACTCTGCAAAGTTAGGCATCTGAAGAAACATTGCCCTCAAATCACAGTGGGCTTCAACCTAATTATAAAGACATTGAGCACCTGGGGCAATGGTGGCCGCTTTCTCAAGACCAGCGGGAGCCTTCAGTGGTGAACAGCCCTATGTGGTCCTGTGGTTCGAAACTGAGAATGAAAAACTGTGTTTGAATCTGTGGAGTGAGTGAGCTTTAGTATTTTGTCTTTGAACATGCAGAGTAAGGACAAACACTCACATGGTGACCAAATGCATTTTCACTGCTTAACTACCTCTTTTCAGTCTGATCGGTGCCTACTGTCTTAATTAGGCACCTCATGCCTTACAGAAAAGATAGCACAGCAGTGCCCCTTGATGTTTATATATTCTGCTCAGTCCCCTTGGCTAGTAAGGGCTGTTTCTGATGCTAAAACTGATTTGTATCTTTTTCTTTCCCTTAACCTTGACTCTACAGTCAGCTAGATGTCCACGGTGGTTCGTACCACACCAGAGGGCCATCCTTCACTCACCAGACACTCTTTATGTTTGCTGTACCAGAAACAAAAACAACTGGGATTAAGCTGTCTCGCCATAACCCTATACAACCTGACAGCCAGATGGTCAAGCACATTCAAATGACTGCAGCTAAACACAAGGGGGAAAATGTGTGTGTGTTTATATTTACATGTATTTTTATAAATGTGTACTTTATAAATACATATAAAAGTGCGAGAGGAAATTTTCCATTCAAATTAAAAAACACAACTAGCAAACACCTCAAAAGGTATGAACACATTACAAGATAAAATCTCCCCCTTTTGCAATACAATCAATTTGTGCAGATAACTCTTAGGTTAGAAAAGGAAGGAAATGAACACTTTGATGCACAGTTGCTCTGATGTGGGATATCTTGACATACTTGACAGCTTTAGCTGTCTTTGGTTTTAGGGTTACAGTCTTATCTTAATCCTTTACTCCACTCAGTGTTTTGCAAAGAAAAACACTCATAATTGCTAGAAAATACCAGACCTGTAGTGTGTATATATTGCAGGATTAGCCTCCTCTTCCCCTGTTGGGCTTTTGCAGATTGTATCACCTCTTAGAATTTAGAATGCCTCTTTGCAGGAAGAAGTAGAGATTGTACTCAATATTCAGAAAGAATGGATTGTGCCAGTTTAAAGTTATTCGAACTCTTTAGAAAGTGAGCTGCTCTCATTTTTGATAAATGTTAAATGTGTTGCCATGAGAAAGCAGCAGTTAAGTCTCCACTAATCATTCTAAAAGAGCTTAATTATAATGAAAGAATACAAAAGACTGAGAAATAAAATGGAAGACAATGCTAAATTGTATCTCTGTGTTTTCAGAATTGTTTTCACCCAAAGTAATTCAGGTGTTCCCTAGCTTTTAGAGGCAGCATAGCACAATCCATTTGGGGCATTAATAGCAGAGGATAAAGCCATCTTTCACAATAAACTTCATAGGTGTTTTAAATTAATGTTTCAAAAAAGGACTTCAATGTGTTAAATTACTATATAGAGATTAGATGTTGTGATTCTGTGTTTTGAAAACTGTATTTATATGTATATATCTGTGCTGTGAGCTAGGAGTAAAAATAAATTGGCCCAGATGAAAAAGGAGTAATGAGATGAAAACGAACAGTTCATGCATTATCTAGTGCGAAGGAGGTAATAGAACAGCAAACTGGTCCAATGGGAGTTCCTTTGAATGACTTGGTTGGTGAGAGAAAAGCCTTTTATCACTCTTGGCAAAGTTCTATCTTAGATACTTTGTTTTCTCTTTGAACTGATTCGAGGAAAGCTTTCTTCTTATACTAGTACTTATTTACTCAATCATCCAAACAAGTTTCTAAGAAACCAGGAAATAAGGTTTTGACAGTAGTGATCACTTACCGACAATGAAGCCATCCTTATAACTGCTAGGTCTGGTTATGGTGTGGTGGCTGGCCGCCACTTTGTCTACACCCTCGTTGCCATATTGGTTCATATAAGCCATTATCATAATGCTAATTGCCAAAGGCAATGAGCATAGAACTAAGAGTGCAAACTTGGAGCCAGACTAATTTTGCTAATTACTAGCTGTGTGACCTCATGACATTTATTTAAACTTCTTTTGTGTCATGTTTCTTGTCTTAAAACAATTATGATAATTGTACCTACTTTATGATTGTTACTATGATTAGAATAATTTATAAAAATACCACATAGTAAAAACTGGGCTCTCCCTGGTGGGCAACGAGTTAAAGCACCACATTATGAAGCTCTCTGAAGCCACTGCAGCACGAGTTGGATCCCCTGTCAGGGATGTGACTCACATGGCAAGACAGATCTCTCCTGACCATCCCGCTGCTCCCCTCAGCAGTGTATTTCAGTACATCTGCCTATTCTGCTCCCCATTCTTGTCTCTGGTGAATCTTCTTACCACCCCTGCACCTCTGGCCTGTCCCCCAGTTCTGTAAGCATTAATAAATAAATCTTTAAAAAAATACCACATAGTACAAACTACCTATTAATTTAATTTTTCTTTAAGTGTCCATATACGCTGTAAATACAGCCAAGTTGCTGGTGTGATAGATTGTAATTGTATCCATGGTAAACCCCAGGTCCTAAGACAATGAAAAAGGAAAGCAAGAGGTGGAGCTATGCGACCCCAGGCCAAGAAGATGTCTACTTAACTTTGGACAGTACCACCTTCATCTGCAATTTTGTTGAAAGATATTAATTATTGATGTTTAAAAAATGGAACTAGTTACCTGTAAAGATAATTTATATTTTATCTTTAGAAAAGTGAAAATGAATATTTTGAGCCTATATAAGGTGTGTTTCAATTTTATTTATTTTTATTTTTTAAAGATTTATTTATGTATGCATACAGAACTGGGATACAGGCCAGAGGTGCAGGGGCATTGAGTAGATTCACCAGAGACAGAGTGGGGAGCAGAACAGGCAGATCAATGAAGTACACTGCTGGGGGGGCGGGGTGCAGTGGGTGTGTCAGGAGAGGTCTGCAGCACTGGGGCTTTAGCTTCTTAGTGCTGAGCTTTAACCCACTGCACCACCAGGGAGGGCCCCTTGTTTCAATTTTAAATGAGCTATTAGTATGTACACATGCACATCAGAGTTCAGCAAGATATTTTGCAGGAATACTGGAATTTGAAACTGATAGCTAATCTAAGTCCAAAATATTATGGATGCTAGATGATTAGGTGGCTGTAGGTAAGTACAGTAATGTAGTACTTGTTTATATAAGAAATCTACTTTCTGTGCAATATATATAGAAGGTTTGAATGTCTCTTAAGATACAGTTATTGCAGAATAAAAAAAAAATAATGTGAGAATTAAATGACCTCGAACCATAACCAAATTAAATTTCAAGCAAAAGAACATAGATAAATACATACGATGTTTAGTGTCTCATAAAGGAAAGAAGGTAGAATACTTGTAAGATGATATCCAATTAAAGCAACTGTTTGCTGTGATATATACTGAAGTTTGTGGTGGAAGATATCAGAAACTGAAATAACACTAAAAGAAAGGGAGAATTAAGAATTATGAGACTTGACAAAACAAGAGGAAGCTAGAAAAAAAATGAATAAAATACCAATGGTATTTTATGATTACTCTTAATTTAAAGTATTTTGGTGTAAAAGTTCAACTTCAGACCACATCCAGGAATGCAGCCAGGCTTCAAATTGAGATTCCAATGTAAAACTGTATTATGTAGACTACCAATTGACACTATTACTAAATACAGCCAAAAAAAAACAAAAATACATTCTTTATGGAAAAAAATTCTTTTAAAAAAAGATTTACTTATGTATGAATTCAAAATTGGCGAACAGGGCAGAGGTACAGAGGTGGTGAGAGGATTCACCAGAGACAGAGTGGGGAGCAGAACAGGCAGATCCATGAAATACACCACTGAGGGGAGCAGCGGGCGGGTCAGGAGAGGTCTGCGGCATCACGTGGGTCAGCTGCCTGGGCGGGGATTGAAGTGGCTGCGGCTCCTTTATAGTGCCGTGCATAAACCCATGCAACACCAGGACTATGAAAAAAAAAAAAAAAAAAATCCAGCATTAAAGTGACAGAGAAAATACTCATGAGAATTGAGTTGGGTCTTGACCACTTTTTTTCAACACACAAAACACAAGTTGAAAAGGTAGGATGCCCACGTACAAGTGGACGCCCTGTGTGTTTGCGCTGAGAGCTTCACTTCTCCCTTCTACTGCTTCCTGCTGCAGGGACTGGCATGTCTAAGCTCCTCCCACTGTTCTCTGCTTTCCAGGTAAGTTTGGCAAACAGGAGGCCTTAGAGAGATCGGAAGAAACTCTCTCTCACACCTCTCTCTGAGAATACAGATTCTTCCCTCTCTCCTTGTCTGCTTTCCCCTTCATTCCTTTCTATTCTTCCCTCCCCTCTTCTCTGCTACCAACTTTGGTCCTTTGAGAGGTAAGTCCAGAACATCTCTAAAGTTTCAGTGATTTCAGTTGTATTCATATATTGTTTTTTGGAAATATGATTTTGTCTTTGCATTTGCCTTTCTCTTAATGTATTTCTTGAAGAGTCAGATCAAATTATACCTCTCTTTGGAACGTTCTCAAGCCCCCATCAGATGAAGGTAATTTCTCATCCCTCTGTGACCGCATACCCTCTCAATGTCTTATTTAAACCCTACACTATCCTTTTATTTACAATTATTTGTTCTACACATTTGTTTTCCCATAGATTGGAAGGGTTTCAAAGCCAGAGATCCTGTATTATTTATACCAGGGTATGTGGTATAAAAACAATGCCTGGGACACAGTTGGTACTCCACAAATGTATGTGAAAGAAAGGTATGAGCAAAAAGGAGGAAGGAAAAAATAAAGGAAAAGGGGAACTATACAATATGTTTTAGAAGGAGAAATATCCTTTCTAAGAGAGAAATGGTGAGGGAAAAAATTAATTTTCAATACAGGGGATAATTCTGGTTAACTTGGGATCTATATGCATTCAAACAACATGAAACTTGTTAGTCACTGATTTTCCAATTAAGTTGTTAGCCACTGAGTTTCCAGTTAGGAATGTGAAAGGGTGCTAAAAAGTAGTTTAAATAAGATCTTGAATAATTAACATCACCTTTCCTTCTTTCTTTCCCTGTCCCTTTCCCCACCCCTCCCCTCCTTTTCCTCTCTTCCTCATTATTGGATAGATTGTAGGCTTCTAGAACCCACAATCATTGGAAGTTTCATGAAAACAGGTGCTAAATTTGCTAAAGACACTTTTTGTTACAAATGCATGTTTATGACTCTAGTAAGACTAGAAATTGATTTTGTTTCTGATTACAATGCAAGAAATGGACTTTGTAACCACTAAAAAATAAACATGAAAAAGTGGGAAGAAATCTCAAGCTTTTTTCCTAGTTCATCAACAGTAATATTGAACTTCAAATATTTAAAATAATGTCCCCTTCTGACAAATGTTGCCCAAGTCATTTGAAAATTTTAAAATATTCATAGCAAACTTGTGCTCGTTTTAGATGCTTTTCACTGCTATTCTGTTAGTTTAGAATTACCTTCACCTTAGGCCTTCCCAAGGATGCTTATTCTTTTAATTCAATTTTCAAATTGAAACTACCTCCCATAATCCTTTCTGACCTTACAATCAAAAGGTGTGAACTCCTTCTATCCAAGCTTAAAGACAAAGAAATAGAAATATTTCTTTTTTAGTTTGGTTCCTTAAATAATATAGCTAAAGATTTTAAAACAACTAAAATCAAATTGCATAAATTCACCTCATTGCATGTTATTTCACCATATGCTTATTAAGGGGCCCTGATTTACTTTCTAACTGATTGAAATGTTTCATAAAAGCAAAGATAAAAAAAACAGTAAAAGAAAAATAATAATAATTTTGTAGCCCAGGATCCAGACCACTGACAAAGTAAATTATATTATCTGGAAAATCCTCAAAGCTATTTAATGCTTTTTGGTTAAGACTTAGTTTTGAATTCTGGACCAAACTGGCTAAACCATAAGCAACATGCACAGAGAGGTCCTCTCCTAAGTGAACTAACATTGCCTCACATTCATCAACAGCCATTTGCCCATTTTTGTACTCAGATCTCAGCCCAATGGAGTGCCTGGCCATCATTTCTAGAGTATGTAATGCAAACATAGGTATGGTGTGGCCATAACATCTTCACAAATAAGACTCCAGACTATTCTGCCTTGTCAAAAATGCAAATGGTTCTTAGGAAAATTGAGTATATTTACTCTATTTAAGTAATAAAATTCTCTTTTACATAAATTTCTGATCTGGCCTTTTAATTGGACAATACATACCGATTGATAAGCCCCCCTTAGTTTGCAAACAGTTTTATATCATTTCTAGTCAAAAATGCCATGTTAGTTAGGATTTAATTTCATGAGCTCCTAAAAAATTGTCCTTTCCTAATACCACATCCCAAAAATGTACAAACAGAAAGTAAAAACAGAAATCCATAACTTCATTCAGGTTGGAAATTTGATACCTATTTCTCCTTTTTTTAAATTGTAGAAGAAAATAATTATATTGTCACTATACATATATACTTGACAAAACAATTTTGACATAGCTATAACTAGTCTTCTATATGATTTAAAAACCAGAGAATATGGTCAGCTTCAATTGTACATTTTCATATGCTCTTACATAACAAGAAAAGAAATTCGGAATTTAGTTGAGGTTATACTATATTAGATTCATTTTTTAGTTAAGTGTCTGGAAGCAGTGGACTTAATGTAATTGAGGTTTCATTTAACTGGCTGTCCATAAAATTAAATCCTTGGTTTGAGGGACCATAATGCTAAATATCTAAAATATGCTCAAGGACAGAATGAGGTTCCTGTGTGGAAAGAATAATGTTTGATTAAAGCCATTTTTTGCTTACAGGATAAGATACTGTGTCTGACAAAATTTAATTTCCTCCATAGCCTACACATTAGCATTATGTGGATTTTCCTTTATACATGAAATAGTATAAGCTACAATGAGTGAAAGTAAGTATAGGTTATTTCAGTAACAGTTCTCATGCACTTTCACAAATTTTAGTGACAGAACAACTCTGTGAATGAAAAGTCATTGTGATGACCCAGAGGACTGTGGGGACATGTTTTTTGGTTTTGTGTTTGTGTTTGTTTCAGATAAAAGAGCAGAAAGCAGACGTGTACAGAAAACCATCTTTACCACCTTCCAATTTTCATACTTTAAATGTACCAGAAGATTGTTAGACTATTTCTCCTAAGAAGTGATTTATAAGGAATGTAGATATTAATGCAAGCCAGAGTTTAGATGTAGAGTTTAGATGCACAGTAAAAGGCAGGTGTGGATAAGTCTCTAAAAAATGTTGAGGAAGAAAAGCAACCTCACAACAAATTTAGTTACAGAATAAATAGCAAGACAAAGCCACAGAACAAAGCTTAATATTCATTTTTACCATACTTAATTATAGGCAGTGATGTATGCAGGTTTTTAGGGCTTATATTTTGAAATTAGTTTTCGTGAAGTATATGCATCTGGAATAAAAGCCTTTGTTTTCCATAGGCATATTGTTATTAATTTTCACAAATGTTTGCGGTTGTGTTACAACTATAATTAAGATATAGAGCATCCTTATAATCCCCAAAAGATATTTTTGAAGTCAATGCCCTCCTAGAATGTCATATAAGCATAATAACATGTAGCTTGAGTTTGACTTATTACATTTATTATAATGCTTTTGATTGATGTCATGTATTAGCTTTTATCAGTAATTCATTGTTTTTGGTACTGAGCTGTGCTATCTTTTATAATATGAATATGCCACACCTTGTTTATCCTTTCAAGTGATAATTCAATAGAAAATTGGGGTTTTTCCAAATTGGAGCAGTAATAAGTAAATATCTAATTTTACATTTGCTTTTGTAAGGGGGATGTTTTTTGACATATACTTTCATTTATCTTGAGTAAAAATTTAAATATTGGTTTCTTTTTCAAAAAAATATGCACACAAGAGCTGGGGTAGAGTGAGATAGGGGTTAAGGGGGTTCACCAGAGACAGAGTGAGGAGCTGAACAGTCCGAGTTACTGAAATATACTGCTGAGGGGAGCAGTGGTCAAGACAGGAGAGGTCTGCTGCACCATGTGGGCTATCTCCCTATCTGGGGACTGAACTCGATGTGCAGTGGCCACAGATAGCCTCCAACTCCCATGTGCTACCAGTACTGGATTTCTGATTCATATAGTAACCTAGTATTTTATTATATTAAAAACTATCAAGCTGTTTTTCAAAGTGGTTATACCATTTTGGATTCCCACTAGCAATCTATGAGTTTAAGATACTATAACACTTCTATTTTTTAATTTATGTATTTTAATGTATTTTTTACACTATTCTTCATTTTTTTGTACAATGTATGCTTTTTCATTTCAGTTGTAACTCTCATGGTATTTCCACTACCAATTCACCCATGTTCCATCACCATACTCACTTTTGCTCTTCTCATTCCTGTTTTGATCCTAATCCCCTTCCCCCTGTAGGATGTCTCTGGTTTACAGATATTTTTTATTTTAGTTTTTATTTTATTACAATTAATATTTTTTCCTGATACCTTATACTCCTCCTATGAGTGAAAACATTGTTTTTTTTTTCTTTCTAGCTTATTTCACTATGCATGATCCCTTCCAGCTCCATCCATGTTGCTGCAAATATTTTTGATTGCTGAGTAATATTCCATTGTGTATGTACTACATCTTGATCCAGTCACCTGTTTTGGGACATTTGGGTTGATTCCACATCTTACCTATTATAGATAGTCCTGCAGTAAACAGGGGTACAGGCCATTCTTGTCAACATTTGATATTTCCAGATTTTATTATTACTGTCACTAATTTAGCCATATAGTAGATATGTTAGTATCTTCTTGTGATTTTCATTTTCTCTTCTTCAATGAAATATAGATGAACATATTTTATATGTACTTATTTTTGTGTGCTTATTTGAAACATCTGTTTAAATATTTTATCCATGCCTATTTTATGTTATGTATCTTTTTATTGAGATAAAATAATTCTTTATGTAGTTTGGAAACCAATACTCTTATCAGTTATTTGCATTGTACACATTTCTCACTGTTTTCTTAGTAGTATGTTTCAAAGATCAGAAGTTCTGATTTTTATTAATTCTAATTTTTTAGAATTTTTTAATTTTATGTTTCTTACTTTTTTTAATGCATCTTAGAATTTTTTCTAACCTAATGTGATAAAGATTTTCTGTGTTTTCTTCTG